AGAAGATAAAATAGAGCTTCAAAAGAGGCAACTCAAAGAAATTGAGGAAAAGGTAAATAAAATTCTGGGCAGCACCAATGGATTTCTTCTCTACAAATTTATTTTTCTCTGTTGCATTGATGTTAGTACTCCTTAACCTTGTATCATTAAATCTATTTTTAAAGCAAGATAAAATTGGAGTTCAAGCCATTGCTGTGTGAAATGATGGTCTTTCTCTAATCTGCTCAAAACCATTTCCTATCCAGATCTTTTGTCAGTTACAGGAAGGCATCGAGGGGTCTGGAGAGACACTAGACTAGTAGGGGGAGGATTTGATGATGTTTAGGTCAAGAAAGAACATAAAGATTTGTCTCTAACAGATTTGGTTAGCTCAGCGCTGTTGTTTGGGTATCATTGCTCTGCCGAACTTTTAAGTACTGAAAATTAAAACAAAATTAATAAAATGCCTATGACATAATTTACAATCCAGAATATTTCTTACTTTAAGATAGAAACAAATTAATATCCTGGGTCCAAATTTTCTTGTCTTTTGAAAAAGCTCTGATCAAAGTTCGAGACAGCAAATGTATTTGTGTCACTGTTGTTCCCAAGCAAGGGATGGCCCAAGGTTCATGGGCTATCAGCTCAGGAGTTTCCCAGGTCTGTGAAGTTTAGACTGCTCTGCAGGGCATGGGATGACAATGGGTCTTTCTCTAGGCCCCAGGAAAGTGTTTTAGCTTGTTACTTTTGCTGAATCAGTGCCTAGATCCCAACACGAGTTACATCATCTCAGGTTAATTTTCTCCAGCATTTATGGATACCTAATCCTACATAAACACACTGGTAGGCTGAATGAAGAAGTTAGTGGAGTTTTCAATAACTTTTTTTCTTTTGGGATGAGAATGCGGTGAAAGATGAGAGTTGAAAGAGGTCAGTGGGTCTTGCAGAACTGAGAGAGTCTTTGGGGACCAGCTCACTGGATGTTGAAAGGTTTCTTCCTCACCCTTCAGTCCCAGTGTCCCATCATCTGTCCTCCCAGTGTCACCCTCTGGGGTTATTGCACTTCTAGCAACTAATCCAATTCCCTCAGCATCTTCCTTGGTCCCTTATGCTCCCACATTAGTTGACTCCCCTTTGCTGTACCTTGTCCTGCACTTTTTAAACCGTGATATCCAGCTGAGTTTGTGGAAGAGCCGGGAGAAGAGCCAGGAGAAACTGTGCTGGGTGCTGCTGTTTTCACTAGCAGAGAAGCACAGGAATCATCCACTGCAAGAAAGGCTCTTTTGCTGCCTTTGCCCTTTTCTGCCCCAAACCGCTTGTATAGCTGAAGCTGTTCCTGCCTAGCAGCCAGTGATGTCTCATATCAAAGCAGAGAAATGCTGAGGGATAGATGATACTTCCACATGTTAATTACTTCAAATATTAGTGTTTATCCACCTACTTTAAAACATCAACATCTCTGGATGTTGCTATTGCCCAAATATAAGCCTTTAAGTCATTGCCATTACAGTTTACAAATTAGGTATTGGATTAGACAGACTGATAATTTTGAAAATGGAGGATAGCATTATCTCTACTGGTTCACCAGCTGGATGGATGGAAAAAAGCATCAGAAAAGAAACAGCTTAATCGCAAGCTTAGCAGAAAGCTGGTAATGAGTTAAAATGATTAACGTCCTCTTTGCCTTAATGTTGCATTAGCAAGAGACCTGAGAAAAGCTTCATCTTTTTCTATTAACCTTCAACTTCTAAATGGGTGGAGCACTTCTTTTTACCTGTATTACATTTGAATTATTTGTTTTCCTTGGGATTAAATCCCATTCTGAATTTGATTGACCAAAGGAAAATTTATGTTGCCAGGGAATCAGTGAATGATATACTTTTACTTTATTGTTCTTCTTAAGGTTTAATGCGTCAAAGGGCACAGACTGACACCTACATGCTACTGATACTGAGCACAATATCTGAGCCTCATCACTGGGGGTAGCTAAGGGCAATGCACCATTTTTAAGTTTTATGTCAAATCAGAACACAAGGATGGCAGTATTTCTGCCCTGTAGATTCTTCAGCAAACTGTCCTGTTTCTAAAGGAGATACAGAAGAAAAATGTAAAATCTCGATTTTAGTCTATGAGTTGAAATATGAGGAACAAGTGGTGTTTAAACACATCATGCTTTTCTCATAAGCGATTCTTAACCATTTTAGCTGCACTTAGTTTGTGTCCTGGGCTTGGTAAGTCTTGGTTTAGGACAGTTTTCACATGTGTAATTATAGGTACTTCCCTAAGTGATGCACAAAGCCAAGCCTAGTATTTCTCAAGTTGAATAGTCCACAGATGTTACCACTGTAGAACTGCTCAAATGCTGAATTTTGTGCCCCTTTTAGAGTAGGTTCGGTATACTTTATCTTTCTTTCAGATCAACTTAATTAATGATATAACACTAACTGCTGTAATGTCATTGGATTTTATATTACATATCTTACATCTTCTTTCTTTTCTTTTTTCCTCATTTTCTTTTGATCTTATGTTATAGTTTTTGTTCCTTTTTTTGTTTTTTTCACTAGCATTCATTCTGTGGCCTTGATGACACAACCGAGCCAAGATGTGTGGTTGGTATTCTTTATATTTCTTCATAGTCAATTTTTAGCTCTTAGATTTTGCCATATTTTGAGAATTGTTTGTAAGACTCTGAAACCATAGGGAAGGGCATACTGGTTTTGGTTGCACAGAGAGGAAGAGTCCCCTATAAAATCCAACTTGGATGCTTTCCACCCTAGACTTCTGCAGAAAGTCATTGGGTTTTCAATGAAAAATGATTTTGCATTCTAAGATGCTGACTGCTGTAACTGCAGTGGGTGCTTTTCATTTCTGCAACACAGGTACATTTTGTCTCAAAATTCAGGTATTGCTGTAGGATTCTGCCTTCTATCACGCTGGATGGAGAAGCGGCAAAACATCGGTTTTCAATTTTTTTTCCTAAAAAGTCCTGTGAGCATCACCACCCATGCAAAAAAAAAGGAGTTCTTTTTACTTCCTCAAGATCTTTGAGGCCATGAAATCACTTAGGAAATAATGACCTATTTTCCCTTCTATGAGGTGATGTGAAGGTTACAATGTGACTGCCCCCTGTGTGCCAGTGCAACATGGAAGGGGTGAGGGTAAAAAACCTCTGTGCCTCTCCTTTGCGACACTACCATCATTCTTGCTGTCCTTTCCACAGCATCCTGATCCTTTCAGCTCAATGCAAAGGACAGAGTGAATTTCTTCAGCTATAGCAGGAGCCATAGTGGCAGTGCTCACCTTTCACAGAGAACAAGAGGGAAACACAATTTAGAAAATAAGTCCCAGTCCTCTTCCCTGGAGCAATGCAAGTTGCACACTGCCTTTCAGTAAGGATGGTAACAACAATCTGTCAGAGAATTAAGCTGTGGTTTAAAACTATTGAATATTATACAGTGTTTGTGTTGTTACTGTTGTTGGGGGTTTTTTGTTTTGTTTTTAACTGATAATACACAATGCTTTTATCTTTACAATTTTTCCAAGTTTTTTCTTCTTTTAAATCTGTTGTGAATTATGCTCATGGAATCTCCTTAGAGTAGGACATGCGTTCAATCAACATCTTTGAAACTGCTATCAACTACTGTATGATGAAGAAGCATGATGACAATAGTTACTCCAAAAAACTATTATATTTACCTTACATTAAGTTTGAAACAGTATTTTCTTCTGCCCAAATCACAAGTACTTTTGCGAAATCAGACCTGTATTATCATGGGCTCTTTTGAGGTTTATTCAGGTCCCGGTACATTCAGTTATCATCTTTCTGTTGATGCTCTTTGGAACTGGCTCTGGACTTTCATTATGAGCATTGCTGCATATGTTTTTTTTATTTTTCAATAAAATGGTGATAGAAACAGATGGGTAGAATGTAATTCAAGGATATTATTGCTTTGTAACAAAAAAAGCAGTAGCTTTCTTTTGATTGTTAGATGGGTGTTGAAAAGTGGTGGAAATTGAACAACATTTCTCAGCATTTTCAGCATTCCTTTGGAAATTTCCCTTGATTTGTCAAAAATTGAGCATGTGCATATAGAGAGGTGTTTGAAGAAAGGAGAAGCCTTTTGGTACACTATTCACCTTTCCACAGTTTGAGATGAATTTTTTGTTCTGAGGAGATCAGATAGGACAGATACTGTTTTGGTTCATATAAGCTTGAAAGAGTAATGTTAAAGAAATCACCAAACTATTACCTTTGAAGTTTCATCCAGCTTTTTTATACCAGTCCTGGTTAGAGGTGCTAACATCTGGATGAATATATTTGCTTTTAAATATTGTGAAAAGTATACTTGCCAAGTCTAGAGAAACTTTATAAACATTCCATAAACTTAGTGAAATTACCAGCATTTTTAAAATTCCATTTGAAATATTTTGAAATACTGTGCATTCGAGGGGTCCATAGGCTTCCATGCTGATATAACTGATAGTATTATGGGTCCCCCCTTGGATAAAAGAGAAAAAAAACCGGAAAAAAAATTTACAAGTATTATTAATCTCCAGAAAATGCATCGTGCTGCTATAACCTGCTGTTCTTCCTGTCAAAAGTATTTCAGTAGTTAAATTCAAGCTTGGTGACAAGCATTTTGAGGGAATAACACAGGAATAATGACCTCGTAGCCACATAGCTACTCTTGTCTTGACATCTGTAGGAGTGCACATCACGTTGTGGTGCTAATGTGAAGGGCGACGTCCTTTAATTCATTTTGCCAGAGGTGAATCCGCCTCTGATTAATGTAACACAGAAAAGCCAATTTTAAGATACTTAGCTGTAATCAGATTCTTGAACACTGTTAATTATTTCAAGGCAAACCATGTGATTTACTGATCGTAATTTTGGTTCTAGTTATTTTGAAGGTAATATTAAATGAATTTAAGGTTGGATGCCAACACTTATTTCTGAAGTAATGTTATTTATCTAAAGCTCAGCAGACTTTTTCTTTTCTTTGTTGTTTTTGTTTTCTGTTTTGGTTTTTGTTGTATTTACAGGCTATTAAAAGAGCGTATGGAGTGAACAGCTGAGTCCACTTGCAAAAAAATACAGAAAATATTTAAGCAGCTTTAAATTGGTGCATTTTTTCATAAAGCAGTTTGCATAGTACTTCAAGCTGCAAAAAAATTGAATTTAAAATTAGAGATTTTTTTAAAGATGTAGCTTCAAGCTGGAATGATTTCATAATCAAATAAGGACCAGCACATCATAAACACAGAAAAAAAAATCTAAATAGAATTTACACTCTCACACCAACCAAACTGCAGAAAATAATACAAGTGCAATTACTGGCTGCTATGTGAACTGTTATCTACCAAATGGTTTTCTTACAGTACTGAGATTTTTGTCTCCATACTGCATGCTTTCAACAAATGTGGTTTGCATTTCACCCAGGAAACACAGGATCTCCTTTTAATATCTATATAAAAAAAGCTAAGTGTTTGACATTAAGTTGTCTATAGTAAATAGCTGACAGGAAGCAAACTGTTCAAAGTTGGAAACAAATAAAGATTTACGACCCTGCAGTGGTAAAATTCATATTAAATTCTTAAGTTGGAAATCCACGAGGGAGAAAGGAAGTGTTTTGGTGAAAGGCAAGGTGATGGATTGAACTAAGAGAACTTTAAAGTGGGCAAGAACTGTGTGGGAAATATGATTTCTTGAATGTTTCTTGTAAAGTAAGGCAAACTTGTAAAAACAGCACTAGGAAAATGGAAGATTCCAAGGTGACCTGAGGGGTCAGGAAAAGAGAATGAGTGATGTGCTGTGCTCAGTTATCTCTTCAAGAAAGAAGAGGGCTTGAACAAATGGGCACGTTGATGAATACGATAAGCAGAGGCATAGTTGGATATAAATATTTAGAAATCATGGCATCCTCTCAGATGAAATAAAAAAATGTTGACATTAGCTACCAGGAAGCAAAAATGGCACAGCCTCAACCAGCAGAGGCAGATAAACACGCATGGACATTGGACATTGACCACCTGAACTGCAAGAAAACTTCGGGGTGAAGCACAGGCTGAAATAATGAAAGTTGAAAAGAGCTTTTTAAGAGAGAGAATGGTTACAAAAGTAATAAAGATTACTCTTTCAAACAGGGAAAAGCAAATTGAAGTTTCAGAACTGGAAAGGCAATATGAAGAAACAGATAATTTTAATTATTTCTGAAATGTTGAGGCAAGCTGAAAATATTAAGAGCACAATATTAGAAGATAACTTTCTCCTTCCTCACATCTTTTTGGAAATCATATTTGTGTAGAAAGCCACAGAGAAACAAGTCTACTCCCATGGACACACTGAACTCCAACATGAACACAGAGTGGAATTAGATGGTTACAATAACACAACACATGAAGTAGAAATTATGATTGACAACAATAACATAAGGCAATGAACAATTAAGGAAGGACAAAGAAGGCTGAGGGAAAATTTTGTCACAACAACTGATTTTCTCACTGCTAAAGGTGCAGGAATCAGCCTTAGGAGCAGCCAGTTTTCTCAGTTATCATTCTTTGAAGATCAGAGGCGTACCCTCCACAAAGAATTACCAGACAACAGCACTTACCTGCAGAAGGTGCTGAGACACTGAAGATTAATTTAGTCAAATGCAGCAAACTGTGGCTGATGTGAGGGTCTGAATAACCCTGTTTCCTGGTAAAAAGCACGGTTTACCTTGGAAACAAGGACCATGCAGAAGTCTGGAATCTTGTTCTCCAAAAGAATGTGTTGCTCACAATGTGTTGTTCAAAAGGAACAAGCTTTTAGAGAATGTGTTTTCGTATAGAGATTTTTCATGTTTTAGTTAAGGCTGTTAGCAGTGTGATGACAGAGTGGAAAAATGAGGTTTTCACTGCAAAAGGCAGAATTCTGGCATCACTCTGAAGAAAAGGACCACAACAGGAGATAAACAGAGCTTGAGATAATCAAACCCAGTGATGATGAAGGAACAGAAATTGGAAAGTGTGATTCACTTGGCAAAGAAACCCTCTTCTCATAGGCACAGTTTTGCTCATCACTACTTTGGATATGAAACTATAAGCACAAACATGGGATGGTCAGAGCACGTGGCTGCCACGGTAAGCACACTGCACAGACAGGAGAGGATCTTCTCACAAAGCAGAAAAGGTATGAGCAATTTCATTTTCTTATTTTGTGATGTGTTTTGTTACATTGTAATTGATATGTGACAGTTCTGTTGATGTCAGTTAAAGAATCTGGCTGACTGGGGTGATAATTTCCATTGCATTCATGATGGGTTTTTTCTGCGCTGAGCTAGCAGGATTCATAGTTTTGGAAAACAGAGCATATCATTAGTCTTTCTATCCACTGTATGCTGGTATTTATTATAGAGCTGGGAACAGTGTGTTAACAGGGTGGCCAGGCATTGGAATAGGCTGTCCATGAAAGTGGTGGGATCACCATCCCTGGAAGTGTTCAAAAGCATGTAGATGTGGCACTTGGGGACATGGTTTAGTACTGGACTTGGCCATGCTGGGTTAGTGGCTGGTCTTGATGCTTTTAGAGGTCTTTTTCAACCTTAATGTTTCTATAATTCTGTGATTCAATCCATCCAATATGATGGGCCTGATTTTCACTTTCCGTGACACAGCTTTTAAATCATCAGTCCCAGCTGTGTAAGTGAAGAAAGAAACTGTAAGTTTCTCATTGTTGTTGTCAGTTCTGACAGCTTTCCTGGTTTTATGCTGCAGTACTCAATAATTTTCAGGATGAAGCAGCAGAAGCATAGAACCTGATGGACCATGAGGTGTGAGGTCAGCTTTAGAAATTGTTGTATTAACTTTCATTTTATGAATGAATAAAAGAGCACTTTTAAACAAGAACACCTACTAGAAATAGGAGAGTAGAAATCAGTGTTGTAATGATTTTGCCAGTTTTTTTCCTGCCTGCATCCTCACTGCTTTTATATGCTGGTTACTTTCTGCAAAATATACTGCTAGGAATTTTTCTTTGTACAGCTTATGAGTTAAATATTAGGCTGGGGCACAGTTGAAAATGACATTAATTTACCTTCCACTGTAAATTGTTAATGAGCAAAGTAACAATGTCCACTATTATTATACCTACCCTTTGCAGTGTTGTTCGGGGATGAGCACTGTCAAATAATAAATACAGACAAAATACTAATGTCTCACAGAACTCTAAACTGAAGATACTGTTCTACTTGGGAAATTATACAGGCCAGGGGAGAGCCATGATTATGTTAGCACGTCTCTGAGAAGGGATTGGGCTTCGTAGGTCTAGAGATCACAAAGTGATTTGAACTTTGTTGTCCACATGGATTTATTCTTTGATGACTTTCCACACTTGAAGCTTTTAAGTATTATAACTTCTCACAGGACCGAGGAGCAGCTGAATCATTTCAGCTCTAGGTCCTTGTGTGGATAAGGCCAGTGAGTTGATAAAATTGACCAGAATAGTAAAACGTAGTGTCACTGACCGTACATGTGAATAGCACATAACAAAACATGGAGTGATAAGAGAAGAACTGTTTGTTCAGTCTTTTGAACTGATTTTCTGCCATTTTCTGCTCCTCAGCGTCAAAAATGTTACTTTTATCTTCTTCCTGTATATTCTGCATTTGTCTACCGAAAAAAAAAGTAACTGCATTATTTCCTGGAGAATAGATCCAAACTCTGTGGTTGAATTCCAATTACAGGTCCAATTCCAAATCAGCACAAATGTAGCAAAATCAAAGGCAATTCACAGATGCCACTGGTTGTGGTTTAACCCAGCTGACAACTAAGCATCATGCAGCCTCTCACTCACTCCCACCAGTGGGGAGGAGAAACAGAAAGAAAAGGTAAACCTCCTGGTTTGAGATATAAACAGTTTCATAATTGTAACAAAATATTACTATATTAGTATACTAATGTTAATATAAATATGCTAAAATATGAGTAGCAGTAGTAATAATAATAAAAATAACAATAGTAATTATAAGGAGATGGAGAGAAAGTAACAGGACCCAAGAGAAACAAGTGCGCTGCACTGTACAGTTTCTAAGGTGTGGAATATCCCTTTGGACAGTTTGGATCAGCTGTCACAGCCATGATCTCTCACAGCTTCTTGTGCAGCTCCTCACTGGCAGAGCATGAGACACTGAAAAGTCCTTGATGCAGGGTAAACACTACTCAGCAGCAGCCAAAACATGGCTTTGTTATCAACATTATTCTCATACTAAATCCAAAATACAGCACTGTACCAGCTACTAAGAAGAAAATTAACCCTGTCCCAGCTGAAACCAGGAAACAATTATAAGACTATACTTACTGAAGCGAGTTTCTGTAAATAAAGGTGAACTCAGGCTGAAGAATTTTTAGATCTACATCTAAAAGAGGTGAAAGAAAAGAATCAAACTTAGCTTGCCTTCTCAGGCCCAAATTTGAACATTCATTTTAGGCATGGTTTCATAAGCTATCAGAGGTGAAGTAGATATAAGTAAAATACTGCGTGGAGAATTCCAAAATACAAGTTAAATATACTGAATGTTTTCTCTGAAGTGGTCATAGAATGCCTTTTGAATAGGAAATATCCTTTTTTAATCTTCTGTCTTGAAACAATAATAATATAATACGTTTATCCAAAATAAACATACTCAGTTTTATGAACTTCCAAATAGTAAAAAATTATTCTCTTTTCAAAACTTTGATGCCTAATTCCTTTATTAATTAGTCCAACTGAATCTTTTATGAGGATCTCATGAACAGCAACTCCTTTCATACATGCTAATGGGGCTAATGAAATGAGACTTTCTCATAAATAATAAATGTGTTCAGAATCAAGAAGGACTGTTCATTTGATCATCAGAGGCTTAGACTCTGTCATTGCATGCTTAGAGTGCAGTATGTTCTGAACCTAATAATTTGGGGTTTTTTTCCATCATGGAGCCTTCATCTGGAAAAGAGCAAGAATTTTGTTACTCTGTTAAAATGCCCAGCAATGAAGGATTTGATATCCTGAATTTCAATGTTAAAATTGCTACTTCCTGGATTTTCCAGGAATTAGAAGATGCAAGCACACCTGATGGAAAAGTAAACAGTGCTGGAGAAGAGAACTTAAATCTCAGAATAAAAGAGCTGGAAAAGTCAGAGCAAAACCTGAAAGGTGTTCTAGAGGACTACGTGGAGTCAGATTCTGTCCTAAGACATAGGTAAATAAAAGGGGATTTTGCATTAAAATTCATTGTGATGTAACAAATGTACTCTTCTCTTTGCCCTGTGTACATGATAATTACATTATATGATTATCATTACATGATAACGCAAAAGCAACAAAAACATCAACTTTCTGTGTTTTTAGAGCGCCTGAGAAGATGCATGTATAAGTGCTTTGTGTAGCTGTCAGAACAGAAATGCAATATTCATTTTTTTAAGAATTATTATTTAAATAAGGGTTTCAGCATGGTCTAAAATGTTGTTACAAATAACCAGACACCTTTCTCAGGATACTGCATTCTTAAATATTCATAAGGTGTAAATTCTGTTTGTAAAGTTTATCCCTTTCCTTTTAAAGTAAGAGTTAATTATGAATTTTGTGTTGTAAAAACAGTTTATTGCTTCAGAAAGCTTCATTCAGTTTAGTATGTTAATGCTAATCACTAAAGTAGATAAAGATGCCATTACTCATTAATTATACATTTTACTAGAATAATTAGTTTTTGATTATCAGCAAAGGCACTGTTTTAAAGAAAGTCAAAGATTTCAAAAGTAAGAAAATGGAAATGGCATTAAAATAATTATTTGTATAATTTTTAAATTACTTTGATTTATTAAAGATTTGTCCAGAAATGTTTTAATAATGGGCTTTTTTTTTTCAAAATAATAATGAATCTTTTTTTAAAAACTTTCATAGGAATAAACCTATTGTAACAAGGATATTGGGGAGGAGAAGATATGGAGAACTTTATTTCAAACCAAAACAAAGACAGTGTGAGGGAACAATTCGAGGAGAGCAAATGAACAGCTGAAACTTGACTGAAAGCCCATTTTCAGGGACCTTGGGTAGCCAGTAAAAAGAAAAGGAATCCTATGCCTGGAGTCCTTGTGGTGGAAGCACAGACAGATGACACAAGGAATGATGTAGAAGGCAGAACTACCAGGAAAAAGAGAGAAGCAGAACTCAGCCAAGGCAGAGTTCTGGGCTGACATGGCCCTGTGTCCTTTGATACCAGTGTCAGATGATGCAGTGCCTGCAGAGGGGAGGACCTCGTCAGGTTTACTTTGATACACGAATGAGCACTTATTTAACTATGTGTTTTCTATCTTGATCCTGTTTCTTCAGAAATGTTTTCTTTATGTGAGATTTTTGAGTAAAGGTAATGTTGTGAGGATGTAGGTAGCAGGAAATTTTGGCAGGGGGAAGTAAGTCAAAGCTTTAAGTTAGAAATGAGCAGGGGAGCTCACTGAAGGTTTATTGAAGGACTCATTGAAGGACTGTTAAAAGTTGAATGAAGAAATTCAAGGAAGAATTAGCAGGGTCCTGAGAGACACTGGGGGTAAAGCGTGCCTCTCTGAGATGACAAAAGAGGTGGCTCTAGTACCTGCCTCATGAGATGAAAGACTTCTAAACTTTCTCCTTAACAAGTAAGGGTTTTTTTGGAATTCACAGCTGCTTAAAGCACTGAGAAGATTTTGATGTGTAGCCTGAAAAGGGAACGAAAGTCTTAAGGAAAACATGAAGCTTGCTCTCGTAAGATTATTTTAGATTATTCCTTCTGTGTAGAGGAACCCCAGCATATCATATCTCGAGCACAAGTCCTATGAGGAGAGGCTGAGGGAGCTGGGGTTGTTCAGCCTGGAGAAGAGGAGGCTCAGGGGAGACCTCATCACTCTCTACAACTCCCTGACAGGAGGTTGGATCCAGGTGGGGGTTGGTCTCTTCTCCCAGGCAGCATCAGTAACACAAGAGGGCATGGTCTTAAGCTCTGCCAGGAGAGGTTTAGGTTGGATATTAGGAAGAAATTCTTTACAGAGAAGGTGATCAGGCATTGGAATGGGTTGCCCAGGGAAGTGGTTGATTCTCCGTCCCTGGAGGTTTTTAAGATGAGACTGGATGTGTCATTTAGTGCCGTGGTCTAGTAACCATGGCAGTGTTGGATCAAGGGTTGGACTTGATGATCTCAGAGGTCCCTTCCAACCCGGCTGATTCTGTGATTCCATGATCACACTATGTCATCTTACACTACCATTTTAATAGAAACAGGCAAAGAAAAACCTGTATTTTGTCAAAATCCAGCCTTGTGGACATAGTCAATACAGTTATACATTATAGGTTTCAGTACCCACTGAAGGTATGTTACAAGTAAGATAAAATGCAGGTACTTCTAGGTTACCTGTAACATTAATTTTGATGGGAAGCATTTACTACCATCGTAAAATTTAAACTTGTTAACTGTAAGCCTAGCAAAATTCTGTGATCAGATACATGCAGAGACTGAAGTGTTGTGGCTACCTTTATGCTAACTTCACTGAACAAAACTCTTGTAAATGTGTTTGCTTATGATTTTCATATTAAGCCAGCAGAGAGGGACTGAACATGGGTGTTGTCTTTAATAGTTTTGAGACTTTCCAGTGTAATGTCCAGACCTCAGACTTGTTAATGAAGTGTTACTAGTGATCCACAAACTGTTACTATTTTATGTTTGGGAGACAAATGTAAAAAATAAAGATAAATTTATGCATTGCTGATGACTGCTTATCTATCTGGAAGTGTACTGTGGAATTTACTTAGCAAAACTCTTCATTCTCACCATCACAGGATGAATGAGCTGGAGCTGTCACACAAAAAACTTCTTGTGATGATTGATCAGCTCAATGTGAAGTTGCAAAAGGTTGAAAATGCCAATGTACGTATTAAAGGGAAATTGCAACGCATTCAGGAGGATCTGATCAACTTGGTGAGGAGGATATTGTTTCAAATTACCTAGTTTATTTTCTCTTTGTGGTAGTAATTTATAAGTCAATCTCATTTCCAGTGATCTCTCTGTTTTTAAGCAATAAATCATCTCAGCCTTTATCTTTTTCTACAAACATAGGAATCAGAAGAACTTTTGGATTTTTTTTTTTCTTCCCCTTTCTATTTCTCTGTTGTTTTTGATGGCATTGCCATTATTTCTTTTATTCAGGCCCTTGAACTTTGAAATATATGCTCATATTTTTTGCTTTCTCTCCAGAAACCACTCAGTGTACTCCTTCTCCTTAGGTCAGACTTTATCTTTCTAGGCCCATACAAAAGGCATTTTTACCTAGTTAACACAGCTCATTGGATGGATCCATGAAAATGGAGGAAGAATGAAAGTTTTTCAGGGACAGTCTTCAGTGAAACAATGTGTTTTGATTCTGTTTATCATAAGATATACTTTCATTTTCTCAGCATTTTAGAGTTGAATACTCTCACGGGACAATAGTACTGTGTGGCAAGACTCTCAAGTCTTGCTTCAAAGTTGCTGCAATGTCCCTGTGATACTGGTGGCTCTTACTCTGCTGAAAGCAAGGGCAGCACGGGACTCATGAAATCCTCTCTGCCTTTCATCTTTCACCTCTGTATGTCGCTGTGTTCAAACACACTATAGTGCAAATGAAAATACCAAAGCCTATTTTCAAGCTGTTTCAAAAGTCACTTGTTCCTTTCTCCGTTTTCAGGAGGTTCATTAGAGGAGCTGACAGATGACACCTATAGTGAAGGGCAAAGGACAAAAACTTGGTCTCTGGAAAGTGTGTGTCCTGTTTTCTAAAACAGAACCACAGCTTCCCTGCCTGTAGCACCTCAGTCCTTCGATACTGTCAACATTAAGGGTTTGTTGTAGATCAGAGCTGAATGTATGAATTCCAGTTCTAAGGTTTATTTTGATTTAATATGTACTGTAGAACATGCAAAAAAATGCGTTTTAAAACTTTTTTTACTTTTTGTAGTAGTAGATGGGGGATAGCTTGTGTTTTGTTTCCTACTGAGGTTTTCTGTGATGGTTGAAATGATAAAACAGTTTAGTTTTGCTGTAAAGGCAGGATTTTACTAGCTTTAGAAAAAATTCTATTTATGTCATTCCTGAGTTTTCAGAAAATAAGGGCAGAATTATCTCTAAATTAAAATAAATAAGGGAAGAAGAGATTTAGTATTAATATACTAACCATATAACTCAATGAAATTGTAGGTTGAAAACCAAAAAAAGTCAGAGAAGAAGCAAAAGGAAAAATTGTGTTGGCTTCAGGAGCAGCTGAAGACAAAAGAAGAAGAAATAAAAAGCCAATCAGAATATTTTGAACACTACAAACAAAGACAGAGACAACAAACAACAGTATTGAGAAAGAGGGAATGTTACCTTCGGGGTGAAGTATCTAGGCTGGAAAAGCAAGTCCTAGATCTTAGTTCCCATGTTGCTCTTTTGACATCCGAGATAGAAGAGGGAATGGTGCAGCATCTCCAGCAGGTACTGGAATCAACGTTCAGTGGGACTCGGGGTTATAAACACCCTGACATGGAAGTAGTGGAATTGAAAACTTGTATTGAAAATGTGGAGCATGATGTGAAAAGCCACCTTCAGGCATTTCAGCAAAATCTGAAGTTCTTAAGGGAAAAAGAGGAGGACAACAGAAGAGAAGAGGGAGACCTGCTGACTGAACTGCAGTGCTCTCAGGACAATGAAGACTTCCTCAGAACAAAATTGGAAGAATCATCCTGTCATGTCTATAGTTTGAAATTATCTGAAATCAAACTACAGGAAAAAATGGAAGAGCTTTTGGATGAAAACAGAGCTTTAAAAGATCAAAGTACAGTGATGTTGAAAAAGAAGAAAGAAAAAGATTCACAACTTGCAAGATTGGAGAATGGAGACAACAGTGTTGACCTGGTATGTCAACTGGTAAGTAAAAATAAGACAAAATATAATTGGTTTTTGTCTTTATATCACCTTGAATTACACTTGTCATTAGATGTGCAATCAAGATGAAAGTATGAGACTTTATCTTTCCTGAATTTTTTTTGTTTATATCTGTTTGTGCATTCGTACTTCAAACTGTCTCACTCACACCCACTGGAATCAGTAGTTGGAGCTTCATTGCATCAGTGCTTTTATGAGGTGCACATTGAGGGCACTTAACAAACCCTTTTTCCTTAAGTTTTTAAGTGATGTGCCCCTGGCAAAAGGTCTCAGTTGGCAACAGAAGTAGAACCCAGAAGAACTTCTGAGACCTCTGTCTTGTGGATACCAGTCAGTGGAGGAGTACAGATATGGTTGGATGAGTTTTTGCATTTTATTCATGCCCAAATGCTGAAGCAAAAAGCACAGTTGACAATAAATCTTGTCTATGAGATTTTCTGGATAATGGTAAACAAGGGAAGATGGATACAGTGTTCATGACCGGGAGCGAGCTGAGATATTCAGTGGTTTGCAGCTCTGTAACATTGTGATATGCCCTGAATACACTGAATAGACTTGTTTGCTTCAAGCACTTCACCCCAGCACTGCATGGGAAAGCTCTGGAAATGCTGTAATATGGCATTGAGCTTCTGCCAATTCATTTTGCTGACAAGGAACAATTCTTTTCACAGAGTGGACTCAAACAAAGTTTTATTCTTTATCCACTGAGGTGGAGGGTATTTTTATTCTGAGAATTTGTTAAATTGAATCAGCTAAGCCTCACACTCAGCTTACTTCATTCAGATTGTGACCTGATATCCCAAGAACATTCCTGATTTTAACTACATTTAACCAAGAGGTAATGGGCATGAACAAATTCCTTTCGTATAGGAGGACAATAGGACAATTTGACTGTACTTGAGTACTTCCAGAACTGGGAGAAGCTAGAAAGGATCTTTAGTCTGTAAAAGCTAGAGGAAATAAAGACAATTTTTTTAACCTGGTAGTTGAATGCACTTTTGCAGGCATGGTGATTTAGTGGTTCTACAGCCCCAAAGCAGTGAGCTCCAGGAGGTTCCCTTTGGGTGAGAGAGAAAGGGTGGTAAGATCATCCTGCAGTGACCAGCAGCACATGGGTGACCTTTGTGGAGAGCTCAGAAGCTGCACCTCACTGCACCTGTATCTGTAGCTGCCTCAAGGTGGCAAAAAGACCAACCACTTACCCTGAACCATTGCTGTAGTTCCTTTAACAAGTGTATTCACTTTTTCTTGGGAAGGAAGAATACCATTTAAAAATATTTTAAGATACTTCTAGAGGGACTTGCACTGAGTTGTAAACAGGTGCAACAAGCAAATACACTATGAGGGGACTGCGCAGCTAAAATCAAGAGGAGTGAGGCCTTTCAGAGCCTGAAAAGTAGTGAAGAATTACTATTTGGTTGATAGAATTGAGAAAAGGAGAAAATAAGTGTGGGGATATTTGAAGGTCTGAAAGCAAGATATATCAACTGACTAATTGTCTGAGACTAATCTAAAAACTCTTCAAGACAAAGGATCAAATGTCTTTCTTTCTGTGCTGTACTCTAATAAAAGGTTATTTTTTTCCTGTACACAAAGTTTTCTAACCATTTCTTTTCTAAGTACTTTTCAATTTGCATCTGTGTTGCCATAGGAGGTTACAGTGTCTCAGTTACCCTCTTTGGTATAAATGAATTTGCCATAATTTGTGTTTACTCTGGTCTGCTGTAGAATAGGTAGTGTTCCTTGAATGCTGTGTGTAGCAGCAGCAGCAAATCTTGTGCCTTCTGCATTTCTATTTGTCTTTTCCTCCTCTTCTAGTGCTACTAATATACTTGGATTTTTCTAGCAGAAAATGACTTGAGATAACAGGGAAAAAAATTCAATATCTATGATAAAAGGAGGAGGGAGACATCTGGTGTTTTTCTGTAAAACTGAAGAGGGCTTTTCCCCATTATCTGTAATTTTACTAGCACCTAATAAAATAGAATTTCTTAATCTCATCACTTTGATCTTTTAGCATTTAAGTCAAAATGGTTAGAAGAAAACTCCTATTTGAGCTCATCATACTCCAGCTATAAAAATGAGAAATCTTGTGCAACACAAGAAAGATTTTCGTGGTGTTACTTTCCTAGAAAACTGCTTGTATGACATTGTTCAATGAATGAGTGAATGGGATCATTTGCCTATTTCACAGCCACGAAAAAAGTAGTTTGTGAATACAGGCTTATCAGACTCCTGTGAAATACACATGGTGTGAGATTTCTCAATAAATACCATGTCATTCAATGCTGGTCACATCAGTTATTCTTGAAGACTAGCCATAGTCATTACTGGATCTTCATTCAATAATACAATATCCAATTAGATTGAGCACTAAGAGGTGAACTAAATCTCATGGAGGGGTGTAGGCCCATAAATCTTGTCAAAAATTTGAATTTCCAAGCTTAGTATCAGAATCCTGTCTGCAGTATTCCAACTGCAGCCTATGCCTGCTTGAAAAATGCACCAAACAACAACAAAAAAAAGGCAGCTGGTTCCACGTGGCTGTGCCTTGACTTATCAGACAGTTTCTAGATGTGAGCATTAGGGGTCTGTTGAAATGAAGGATAAGTATGAAACACCAAGCAGTGCATCTTCCTACTGCTTTCACATAACTGCTGAGGTCTTGATTTCACAGTGTGATGTTTGGCCATCCAAGTGTTGTATCTTTTACATCATTATGTGTAATTTTCTTTTGACAGTACCCACATAGTAATAATGAATTGATATCTGTGAAGAAATAAAAGGAAACTTCCAGGAAAGGAATCAGTGTTTCAGTTAATTGGCATTAGTTTCAAATGGGTTTTCCAGAGAAGCTGTGGATGCCCTATCCCTGGGAGTGTTCAAGGCTAGGTTGGATGGGGACTGTGCAACCTGGTCTAGATGAAGGTGTCCCTACCCATGACAGAGGGGTTGGAACTAGATGGTCTTTAAGGTACCTTTCAACCTAAACCATTTTATGACTCAATATTACTGAGAAAATAAAGGAATGAATCTTGGAAGTGTTGTGGTTTTAAGTCATGCCTCCCAGTCAAGATCTCATAACAGAGTGCAATAATGAAGTAGCTGCCTTGGATTGAAGTAAAAATTATTCTCACTGGTGATCCTCTGGAAAATCAGTGGCCTTTTCTGACTCACTGCAAATACTTGGAAGTCATTGCCTTTCCCATCCACATGTAATTTTAAAGTTGCAGCTCAGTCAAAAGGGACCAGACTTGTTTTCTGCTGGCATTTGATGCAGAGCAGTGCAGGAGGACAAAAGTGCCTTTGTTGGCCTGATTTCTGTGCTGTTGCTGTTTTGGTTACCATCTTGATTAAGTGTTTTGTTGAGACAATCAAAACTGAGTCTTCCGTTCACTGAAAATGAGCACAGTGCCTGTGAAATGTGGTTTGTGTATCAAGAAGTAGGAGTATCTGCTTTTCATCAGGAAGAGTCGCAAATTCCAAATTCAATCAGGGAGTCAAGATAAATGTCAAGAACAGAATATGAAATTTACAATTAAATTATCAATGGGAAAAAAATCTGTTAAGAATGATTATTCAACTTTGAATTCTTCCAGCCTAGAAACATTTGTCTTTGTAGCTGGGCACTGAACTATTAGTCTCATTCCCTACTTGATTGGACCTTCTTTTCTCTTTGTTCATGAGGATATAAATTAGTCACAGTGTTCAACCTGTTATCTGACATGCTTATGACTCAGGTTTTCTTCCTTAACTCTTTTTAAAGTATGGAGGAAACACTAGGGGAAAGTTTACATCCATGACATTTACTAGAAAATGTTGGAATGAGAAAATTGTGTGAAACAATAGCAATTATAATGAAACAATGGGCCTTTTGAATGCAAAATAGCAAAGGAAGCTTATGTGCCTGTTTTTCATATCCCAAACACCATATGTGTATAATCCGTTTGGTTTTTTTCTTGTCCTCCTCATTTTCCCATTAAGAATGGAGATCTAATTCAGGATGAAATTCAAAATCTTAAAAGGAGACCAGTCTTGGATTCACTCAGAAGCAGAGCTACTCAAACTCCAGCTGTGCTGCTACATGCTGAAGAGTCTGGTATGCAAACAAAATGGAGTTTTTGCTTTCATTTATGTGCAATTAAAATGAAGATGATTTCATTCATGAGGTGTGCATGACTTAGAAGGTGTAAAACCTTCAAAAAACCTCCTAATTTGTAACCTGTGTCTTGGGAAGGTGAAACAATAACTGGGGTACTTTGCATGTCCTGGATGAAGTATAGTGTTCAGGAATGATGTGCAGCAGATTTGCTTTTCAGATCAAACAATGTGAAAGCTCTGATCTTGATAAATTGTATCAGGTAAATTCTTCCAACATAAATTAATGGGAATTTTATAGCAAATTTCTGTATATGCAAATGCAGATGTGCACTGAATAATTTCAGCCTCTAGGTTTAACCCAATAAGTTTTCACCTGCCCACCATAATGAGATGTATTTTCCATTTTTAAATACTTTGAGAACTGGAAAGGCCAACCCCCAAATAGACTTTATTTTAGAGCTCAATATTTGTGTTTTCTTGTGAAGTTTGTTTTTTTATTAAATGTTGAGCTTTTGTCTGTATCATTGGTAGTGTATGCTGCTGGTAAAGAAGTTAATTTTGACTATGCTCTCACTAAAATATTTCTCTGTTCAAAACATCTCTTCAGATGTTTTCAAGTTTGTTTTTTATGCAACTGTCTGGGAGTGACATTACATTTTTCCAGTGCTTTACCATAACAGAAACACCAGGATGTAGTCATGATGGACTAAAGCAGATGGAGGAGCTACCAGAAGAATCTGTACCAGTCTGGGAAGGCAATTCCAGTGCCTTTGTGAAAGTTGCTGGTCTAGCTGAGGCTGAGGAGGTGAGAAAAATAGAAATTTGAGATAGAGTGAAGAGCTGGTGCATTTAAAGTTGAAGTAGCTTTATCCCATAGCTACTAGAGATGCTATACAGGATGAATACAGGTGTGCAGTAAGAAAATGATTGACTTACTTAAACCTTATTTGTATCATTATTGTCATTGCAAATCTTTAAATAATTTGAAACTCTTTGTATGGAAATATTTTTTCTCATCTGTGTGTAATCAAGTATTTTATGGATGAAGTAAAGAATAAATTATGATTAGCAACATACCTAAGCCTATATATTTCAGCTTGAAACATTTCTCATTTGCTATCACCAGGTCACCCTTGGAACAGAGAGGGCAGGTACTCTAGAAGATAGTTTCACTTTGTTTGGGTGTCCCCCAGTTTGTCATGCAGCAGGACTGCTTTCCCCTTACTCTGAGAAGTTATCTGATGATGAGACAAGTAAGAAAACCAAAGGTGAAGAAACCATTTTTCTGTTGAAGGAACAAGCTATAACTCTACCAGCAAAGACATTCCCTGCTTCTGTGGTTGAAGCCTTGATGAGGAAGAAGCTCCAGCTTACTTGGTTCAAACCTGAAAGCTGCCACTCATCAGCTGTCACCACTGTGGAGAAAGTGAGGAGTGCGAGTTTCTGTGAGGCAAATACTAGTCTTTGGTCTGCTGGCCTCTGTGTTGTTGCAGAAGGGGGATTTTATGACAAAGTTCCTGCACTTCTTCATAGAAAGTTGCCTTCCACTGCGACTGAAATTTTCACAGCATGTCTAGAAAAATACAACATGGAAAAACATTGGGAAAACAAGCAAATTCTGCCAAAAAGCCTAAGTGAAAATAGATGTCTGGATAAAATTGTTGATGATGAAAAGTATCACCAAAAATTCTCTAGAGAGAGAGCTAAAGGAGAAGAAATACAGACTGAGAAATCCCAACCACAACTGGTGACCTGCGTTCTTGAGGAAAGTTCTGAATTTTTACATAAAATTGAATTTATCAGGCCTGAGAAGCAAGGAATGGAAGCCAAAGAGAGACTAGGTAGTATACAGGATGTCCAAAGTTTGTCTCTTGATTTTAAAGACTTAAAGAAGTATTTTGAAGGGAGTCTTGAACTAATGGAGAAAGAAGAAAACATCTCAGAGAACTGCATCTCTGATGTGAATAGAAGATATAATGGAGAAGATATAGTTGAAATGGAAGAGAAAGGAGTGCAAGCTCAGAAACCAACTCACCAAACGAACCCCTCCAGCAATATTGGTGTGAAAGAAAAGAAAGACCAGACCTTGGGACTATGTGAACCAAATGAGAAGAATTTCTCATATGAAAAAATAGCTGCTGAAAACGTGCAATATGCATACTCTCAGAATTTCTTTTGGTCAGATGAAGAGAGGTATCCACTAAAATTACTGTTTCCTGTGCAGGAGAGTGTTGTGTGCCTAGGCAAACTATTCCTGCCAGGGAGCAGTTTTTATGAGTGTTTCTGTCATCTGTCACCACTTGAAGCCTGTAATGAACCTAATGTGAAAATATCTGTACTGGAAAAAGCAGTGGCTGTGTGTTCTCACAGGATATTTCTACTCATGCAAGAGAATGAAAATTATTCCAAAAAAGTCTATATATTAAAACAGGAGAATGAGAGATATGCTCAAATGATGTGTGCTCTGGAAGAGGAGATGGATGCATATTTTCAGTACATTTTAGCAGCAGATGAAGCTAACGTTGTTTCATTCCAAAACTTACTTAATGAGAAAGAGGTTTCTGGTGGATGTTACAGTAACTTATCAGAAGAAAACACCATGACCCCAGAAACATTTTTAGTTAAAACTTTCTCTAAGAACCTCCCATGTATTGAAGAGAAAAATAGGAATTCTGAAAAAGACTCATCGACAATTGCATCAAATAAACTTTCCAGGAGTGTTCTATCCCTGAAGGGAAGGAAAGTGAGGTATTTCCAGCTGCTTTCTGACCTAAAAGAAGAAAGAAGCAGATGCTTCAAAGAAATAGCTAAATTATTACAAGACAAGGAGAACTATGTAGCAAAATGCAATGAATTAATACAGGAGAGAGAGGAAAATTTACAAAGAATAGCTCTTTCAGAGCGTGAAAAAGAAACTTTGTTGGGACATTTAGCAGAGATAAAGTGTGAGCAAGACAAATACAAGACCTTGGTTTCAAAACTCCAAGACTGCAAAACCAGCTGTTATAAAAAAATTTCTGATTTACAGGAGGAAAAATATGTACTGAAAAGAGAGATAGACAGAATCAAGAAAGAAACTTCAGAGCGGCTAGATGAATTTCAGAAAGCAAATACAAACTTTATTTTAGAAAATAAAAAATTGAAAGAATTAGTGTCTTCTTTGGGTTTCACCTATGAAGAGCTGAGAAAAGAGAAAAGTTTGGGAACAAAGAAAAAGATAGTAAAAGAAGAAAGTCAGCAACATGGTCTTAAGCCAAAGAAATTTGAAACAGTGTGCAGTGTAACGCAAACTGAAGAAGAAGGAGTTCTGGTTATAAATCCTTCAAACTATTTCCCTGGGAAGGAGGTAAATAATAACAGGAAGGAGTGTTATGAAGCAGTATCTTCTAAGGAAAGGGGGAGATATAAAAGTCATTTGGAGGACAAAGCTGAATTAATTTTTAATGCAGAAAATGTCCTAACCTCCCACATGCTGGAGAGGTGCTAAAGTTAACTCTGAAATAGAAGGCAAAATGCCAGAGAATATTTTTCTGAATATTGTGTTAAAGAATTTTAAAGTGATACAGCAAACTAGACATTTAAAAATAATGCTGATAAGAATACATTGTTATGGCATTTTTTAAAATTATTTATCTTATTGTAAAATTAAAAGCTTTTATGAGAAGCTTTTACTTCTAACCAGAAGTTCTCCTACCAGAAGAAGAAAACTTCTGTTATAATGGTGAAAACATCATGTCTTAATGCAAAGTGCACATATGTTCATTTACTAACTGGTCTTCTAATAGGGTCTGATTTTTTTATTGTTTTGATACATATGAAACACATACCTAAAGACAGCATTTTTACTCATGATGGATTTCTCATCCATGTTTTTCCTATGTAGTCATGTATCTTACACCACAGTGAATTTCTGTGGAGATTACTATGTTCTTGCAAATGCAGAATTATTACTTCAGTTGAGAATAAACAACAGGGAAATATTTATGTCTAATAACTTGATTTTATGCAAATATTTTTTAGTAATTTAGGAGGAAACCATCTATTGCTCTATAAACATCTATGTGCCATTTTGTACAGGGGAGAGAAGTCACGTCTTTCTGTTGTCTTTCCAGGGCAACATATTTGAAAGCTACAGTACAATGAAAGAGCAAGTTGAAAAGGCAAAAGAAGAATTAAAAATACAGCAAAAGGAATTAGAAAAATCAAAAAAAGAGGTAACATTCTACTCTATTGTACTTCTGAGGACCAGATTTGTTTTCCCTCATGTTTTCTTTCATGGATGTTCTTCTTTCTTTTACGAAACACAAAAGTTTCTGATCTGCAGAACCAAAATGTACTTCTTTGATCTTTAAGTGATGAACTGCACAGCCGCTCTTGATTGGCCAGAACATTCAAGTGAAGCATTCCTGCAGCACACTTTGACAGAAGCTGAGTGCTTAATAAAGGCACACAGAACAAACTACCTGCTGTTCCCATGTCTGGGCAGTCCCTCCCCATCACTGGGAATATGGAGGAGCAGAAGCCAGTAGAAGCACTGAGAAGTAGTTTTTTTTGAATGAGAAGCTAAATCATATAAAATCTGACATTGTCCAGGGGTTTTGCTTCTTCCAGTGGTGTTTCAGAGCATTTGCACTGCTCCTTCTCTCGACAGCTGTGTAGTAAACACTGAGTCCAACACCACCTACTTGGAGACTTGTTTGGGTGGTTAGTCCTGTGCTTGGGTGAAGTAAATCTGCAGTTTGAACACCAAGCGAGGAAGCTTTCAGTGTTGTGCCTTTTCGAATGCACTGGCTTTCACATTCCTATTTTTTATTAATCAATCTCCACTCTATGCATATCTAAGAAGAATGTATTGCTTTTATGGCAAGTGTATATTTGTGGGACTGTTTCATGCAGTAACAGTCATTGCTCAGACTCCCTGTGGACAAACCACTGGCAGCCAGAGGTGTGTTGAGTATGCTAAAGAGCAGTAGGGTTACCATGGTGGGTGTACAAAATGATTGTCCTTTGATAGCTGCTTTGTAAGACTTCCCAGCATTAAGGTAAGGCAACTAGAATGAAGGGGAAGATTTGGATGAGTGATGGGTGGTTAAGGAAAGGACTTCTGACCTTGCAATTTGAACATGAACAGATAATTTTATTTTTATTTATTTTGTAATTAGCTTGGGTCCTTCTAATCCTTTCATGCATTCCTTACTATAAGGAAATTGTGTATTTCAGTACTTTCCTCAGTTTAGTTAAAATAATTTGAAGTCTTCACTTTTAGGAGGAGAAATGATTCATCATATGAGGGAAAGAGCTTGCTGTCAGGAACCCAGCTGAGCTACTGAGGTGTTTGTTTGTGGTTTTTGGTTTCAGTTGTTTGTTGGGTTTTTTTTGGTTTTTTTTTTTCAAAACTACAGTTAATGTGTATTGGTTGAATGAAAGCACCCTAGAGAAAATTAAAAGGTGAAGATAAGGGCTTTTTTTTTCTTTCTTTGCATTTTTCATTTTTGACATTTTTGTCTTCATTCTCTTGCTGAAACAAAAACTCAACACTGTGCCATCTCCTAAGGAGAAAATTAACTCTTTCCCAGCTGAAACCAGGACATATTTCTCAGGAAGATGTTTTCCCCCTCAGCTGATAAAATCTTTATTTTCATTTTTCTCTGAGGGCTTTGAAATATGTAATCTCTGAAATTATGTGTGCATACAGCACTGATTCTTTTAACTTTTTTCAGAATGCTCACAGTACCTTCAAGTTCAGAAATAAATTTAATTAGTATTTTCTGCATAGCTCTAGTGAGTTCCATAGGACTTATTTCTAGAATCATATTAATTTCTTATAAGATTGTAGTGTATTGTGTAATTCCATTTATTTTAATCAATTTATAACAATTCAAACACTGTGATGGGGAGATCAGCCTCAAATCCATGGCTGTAAGCGGGTATTGAAAAATGATACTGCTGCTGGACTAATTATACTCAGCAATTTTTTACTTTTTTGTTCTTCCTGTTAGGCTCAGAAGTGGTACAGAGAACTTGGTTTTGCTGAAACAAGGTACGAAGAAATCAAGACTCGTTTGATGCAGGTTCTCACAGAATTAGACCGCCTTAAACAAGAAGCTGGGGACAAAATGCTGGGAAAGCAGCACTGCAAATTAATGGTATGTATGCAAATGGAATGGAGGAAAGCGTATTCCTTGGAAGAACCACTCATTATTGTTATTGGGGATAAACTGGAAGCAAATCTGGAGCCCCTAGAGCCATTGGAGCTATAAATTTGAAAGATATTATACAGGGTAGACCATCTGTCTACAGGGTAGTCCAGGGTCTGGGCTCTGCATGAGCATTGTAAACACCTCACATTTTTTTTTATGCCACTTGATATGCTATCTTTAGCCAAAGTCATTTTCAGGTGACCTTAATGAGAGGTGGTGGAGGAGTCTCCAGTGTTTCCAGTGTTTGGACTTTCTGCCCTGATTTCAGGCCTTCTAACCCTGATTGTTAGATTTGGACAGGCAAAATGATCCGTGATGCCAGGCACTTTGTTGAGTAACTTCCACTGCCAGTGAACAGATGGTGTGGATTAATGGGGAGTCAAAGTCTTTAATAGATGCATGTGGCCCAAGTATGTATCCCCAAAATCCAGGAAATCTTTCTGTCACATGGAGGAAAGTCTCATTGGAATGTGCTTATATCACAGAAATTCTGGTTTTCTGTAAATGAAAGCTGTTTTAATTTTCAGGTGGTTCTCTGTCCTGATATGGGTTTATGGTTTCCACTAGAATAAAGTGTTTTATGGAAAGATTTTTAATTACTGAGTAATCTTCTGGAAGCAGCTTTCATAAAGACTTTTCAGCTAAATCTGTCCTCCTTAACTGGAAAGCTGTGAAAAAGAAATATGCAACTTCTACCAGCTGGAAAAGCACATTCCTAGCAACCTACAATATTTGCAAATTCTGTTTGAATAGGTTAGTTAGATATGGCTTTGGAAGCAAATAAAAACAAATTCTGGAAAATGTAATGATTCTGGGATTGGTTCAGTTGCCTAAAGGTTGCTGTTTATCCTAGTCAAAGACCTCAAGGCATCCTGGCTGAGGGTGTAGTTGTCCTCCTGGAAGTCCTGTGCAGTTATTTCATGTTAACTTATACACCCTACGTGGCACTGGAGGCTGATGTTTAAACAACTGAATTTTGGCTGTTAATTGAAAAGGAAGCACAGATTTTTCATATCATTGTGATGTATTGGCATGTAGAATATTGAAACAACAGAATCTATTTCAAGCAAGAAGAAACTCCCAAATTGTTTGAAAATAAAAAGAAATGTATCATGATGATCTGTTTAAACTAGCAATTAAGATTTTGGGGGCGTTTTTGGCCAATGGAGCTTTAATAATTTTGTTTGGTGAGAGTTCGGGGAAATTATCGTTTATTCTATTGGTCAATGAAGTAAGCTGTTAATTATTTCTATTACTCACATGGGAATAAAATTCATTAACCTTGACAGATTGTTTTTACACTGGAAAAAGTGCAGGACAGCCTTTCTCTGAAAAAACCTGCTACTTCTAAATGCCTTGAATAAAGTTTTCAAGTTAGCGTTTATTGATCAGTAGTATATATTTATGCAATATTGTGACGTTTGATTTGGATTTGACTTCTTCATAGGACTAATGTCAAGTTGCTGTATACATGTGTCTCATTCCAGGGTCAAAGATGCAGTACATGTACATCACAGAACTGGGTTTATCCCTCAGTTGCACTATTTGATGGCAGAACTAATTATCTGCATGACTCAGATCCATTATGTCTTAACCAAAGGATATTGATTTTATTGGCTCAATTTAGCAAATAGTATGATAGAAAATAGAGTAGATATATTTTAGCAAAGGTTGTGACTTTATTTCAATAATTCTCTTGTAAAATAATTTTTTTAATGTACACCAAGGTGTTGATTGGGAGTTTGTGTGAAGTTGTTAAAATATGGCCTGAGTTTTTTAGATTAAAAAAAAATGACCAAGACTTTTTGGCACAAAAAAAGGTAATGATCTACTTTTCTAGCATAATTTTATTTCCTGGGGGCAGTTTTATAGACTGGTAATCCTGTTTTTGTTTTCTATTACTTGTCACTCTTTTTTTTCCATAAGTCATCTTCAAATAGGGAATGTTTCCATTTTGTATTTAACATACTTTTGGTGTGGGAAAGAAGATGAGGTAAATACCATGTCACGGACTCATCTTCGGGCTTTTGTCACTGCAGCCCTGATCTAATCCATCTTGATGTGTCCAGCAGTTCCTATTGTTGTCTTGACACAAGAGGGAGCCAAAAAGTTTAGTACAAAGCATGCTCGACCTGCTCGAATGCCGTGCGTAGAGAACTTGCTTCATTAGGAAAGGCAGTGTGAAAATGCCATGTTTCTGTTTCTATCTGTGTTTACAGTGACATGTTGCAGGCAGAGTGATGTGATCTATCACTTAAGTTTGATGTTCCCTATGAAACTGTGCCTTCAGCGTGTTTTAGTCACCAAGGGTGTCAAAACTCGAAAGACTGTCAGGAAGCCAAGGAAAATTTAACTGTGGTGCTGTGCATCAGGGCTGAGTATTAGCTCCTCTCTCGGTTGTATCAGTTTTTGTAACCATTAAAATCAAACCATCTTCCTGCAGGTTTGGTCAGAAAGTTATATGGTTTTATCACAGTGTATCATGGGCCTGACTGGAATTTTTAGCTTAATCTTTTAGACTTGCTTATATACTGTGTTATCAGAAATCTTGACCAGTTATATGTATCAACTCAGTATTTTCTTTAATATAAGGTCACAGTAGCATAAATGTTTGTCAGGAGACTTTCTTCATCCGCTAGTTTTCCTCATTCTAAATATATATGTTTAATCTGGCAGTGTCACTTCTAGAAGCTGACCTTATGATGCTGACCATCAATCTAAAGCTCTCAGTAATCCTTTCAATCTAAGTGCATGAAATTGGGCAGAAAAAGAATTGGAGGGTGGGGGAGGAGGAGTTAATTTCAGAAGCTTCTCTTTCCACACGATGTGTACCTCCATTATTACATTTTAATATAACAAATATTTTATTTTAAAATATTTTGGAAATTTGTACTTAAAATCTGATTAGTTTTACTAATAATCTTCCAGAACAAAAATGTAGCTGTAAGAGTGGAATTTGCTGAGCTAAATATATGTAGAAAAACAAGGGATGTATTATGGAGCTTCTTGTTGGAGCAGGAGACTGGTAACTTTTGAGTTCTCTTTTTACTCATTGTGTGACAATAGATTGGTCACTTAATCTGTCTGGGCCCCAGTTTCCCCATATATTATATTATTATAATACAATACTTACCTTGAAGGAATGTTGTGAAATCCCAGTCCAACATCTACCCTCACAGGGGTCAAGTACTCATTGCTTATAAAGAGTTTTAAGATTAGTGCAAAATATTTGGGCTCATATGTCTATGAAGGTTTGAAATCAGACATTTTTTATCAGCTTTCTTGTTTTTGAGGTGCAAGGTATGTACATATATCAATTGAGAAAGTGTGTACTCTAAAACATGATTGAGAATATTTTCTTTATTTTATACATCTAATTTGAAAATCTATGTATTTTCTCTCTAGCCTGAATACAGCATGAAAGATGTCCAGGAAAAAGAGGTGAATAAAATAACCAGTATGAGATTACAGCAGCAAGTGCTGACCTTGAAAGCTCAGCTCAGGGACCAGGCTGCATTAGAAAATCAGTTTTACAACCTGCAGAATGAAGTGGAACTCCTTCAGGCTCAGCTATGTAAAAAGGTATCAGAGAGTTGTTTTCTGTGTGCTTAAACGTGAGTTTAAGATTCTACAGATTCTACCTCTTTCTTTTCAAAAGCGAGAACCAAAATAGTCTTCTGTCCTGGGAATGAGTCTGATGATAATTAAATGGTTTCCAGGCATATGAAAGTACCCCTGACTTCAGAGAAATAAGGAAAAGATATAAACTGCCTGGGTGGTCGATATTATGGAAAGATGATAGACTATCATAAAAATTCAGTCTCTGCTCTAATCCCTGTAGTGTAATGCAAGCAGTGATGCTGAAATTATTTTACAGAGCCACTTCCTTGGCTTAAATTGTCATGACTTTTAACATTCTCAAGTCTCTTCTTGCACTATATCAGATTATGAAACAGTGAGCTAGTAATAGAATTTTGATAGAGTTTTCCCTAACTTTTCTTGTTCCAGCTGCTAGGGTTATATATTAAGAGTTTCATTAACATTTCAATTAGGTGTATGAGTAGGATTTTTGGTAATTGATATAGTTATTCTGATGAGCAACCCCATGTATACACAATTACACTTACCCAAGCAGTTTTTACACTTTTACATTATATTTCACCTGGCAAACCAGTGAAGGTACATTAACATTTGTAAAGCAGCTGCCTTACTATGTGAAACTAAAGCTACTGCTGTAAGTCTGATTACAGCTACTGAACTCTTGAGTGGAAACAAATTCCTGCTAGGACTTTTTTTTCCTTAGATTTTTTCCTATTTTCTTGGAAAGTATATTTTGAAAAGGGATGAGAGTTGCCTTGTGAGCCAAAGCGGAATTGCCCATCATACTTTGAAACAGCTCATAAATGGCATTTTCTCAATAGTGTTCTTTGTTCTTCATATCCTGATGCTTCTCCTCCGTGTGTACTCTGAAACACAAGAGATTATTATCTTCTCCCTACTGGGAACAAGTTTCATCCTACTTTCTCCACATTAATCCAACTGTTCTACAATTTTGTGTTTTGTTTTGTTCTTTTTTGTTTGTTTGCTGGTGCTTTGTTTGTTTTGTTTTGTTTTGTTTTTCCTAGCCTGGTCATGTGCTGTGATTTACTTTAAACCAGCCCTGTACAGAGGGTTAGTGGCTTCCCTCAGGCATTGATTAGGATGCCTCTTAGAAGAACAAGGGTGGTAAAATGAAGTTGTTTTGTTGTGTCTGATGTCTGTAGTGATGGATGGTGCATGTCAGATAGTAGGTGAGTAAAAGGCGACATGTACTATCCGTATAAATGGACAAGTCTTAATTGTTTTATTGCATCAGCAAAATGTGTGGTTCCCTGCCTCATCAAGAATCGAATGTCTCCAGTGCAGGGACCTACTGCCAGTTCTTTTATTCTCTCAGTGCTAGTGCAATGTAGACATGCAGGGACCTACTGCCAGTTCTTTTATTCCCCCAGTGCTAGTGCAGTGTAGACATGTCTCTCCTGTTCTGCCTATTCTGATTCTCCCAACCACAATTTATTAGCTGAGAACCATATGATCTCTTTCAGCATAAATGAGTTCTCATAGAGGAGTTTTTTATGATGCACATAATATATTTAATGTAGACTTTATAGAAATACAAATTGTCAGGCAAAATGAATGCAGAGGAATCTGTATTTTATTGTCAAATAGTACTGTATAGATTCATAATGGAAGTGGATTTTATTTGGCAAGATATTGTGTTTTTACTGCAGGTAAAACCAGAAAGCAGGTTTACCATGAATAATAAACATTTTAAGTACAAGGTAAGACAAGGTCATCTGGCTCAGCCTGGTTCACCTCCTAAGAAAGGACCTGCATCAGCTGTGTTAGAGTAGAAAGTTGTTGCTGTTCACTTTTCAGAGTGGAATACACATGTGAAAAATCCCTCCTCACTTCTCTAATTTTATGTCATAGTATTGATAAGAAAAGTGAAAATTTTCCCCAAAGAATGTTTCGAAAGATTCACAAAGTAAATAGGAACACGAGTGCATAATGAAGGATATCAAGTCTTTAATGTGATGCTGCTTTGATGAAATAACCTCACTGAAATAAGGCTCCAACCAAGAACATCCAAAAGCTTTTTTAATTCATAAGACCTATGTTAATATGAGTAGGGCAGTGTTTGTGTGCCAGAGTCTATCTATGTACCACCAACTCCTTACACTGCTTCACCTTGTTTGTGATACAGGGTCACACAAATGCACAAAGTGTAGACCTCAGAGTCAGGTCTAAAACAAAGATCAAAAAACGGCCAGAATGTCTTAAAGTGATGCTTGAATAAATTAATGCAGGATATATTTCAACCTTTCAGGAAAAAGAACTTGAGAAGAGAAAGTCTGAAGTGAAGTTGACATTAGCTCCTCTGAAGGTACTGTGTTTTACTGAACGCCAGTGCAGGACCTACACAAAGGTTTGCTCACAAGTTTCTGTGCCTGTGCCTCCTGCAGTTGCCCCTAACTTAGCTGTGTGCTACTGGGCTTCAGGTTTAGGCAAGGCCTTGCTGACATTATTGTGATGGGTATTCTTCAGCCTGTCGAAAGGGGGGCCTTGCACATGGAAAGGGAACATCTCTTTTTGGTTTATCTGTGCGCACGTTTTGCTCTGGCAAAGTTCAGAGGCACCTGATGGCGTAGAAACATAGGAATACAGTCTATAGCTTTTGGTCAAAAAGTGTGAAATTACAGATCAGACACAAAATATAATCTTGCAGTCTCAACAGGGAGTGAAATCATAGAATCATAAAATGTATATGTGTTCATGCCACACAGGCTAAGCTGGCTTGCCTCACCCGAAAGTGCCGAGAAAGGAACAGTTTCATTATGAGGATGCATGGTGAATTTCACAGGAATGGAATTATTAACTTTGCATTTGATGAAGAGGTGAAAAACTTGGTGAATGACATAACCCTGACAGAGTACACGGCTGCTTTTACACCAATGTGTGATCAAGAGGTAAGTGCTTTTATTTCCTTGTAGGATCCTCATATTGAATTAAGATAGTTATTTTCAAAGTGTTTAGTGAGATTCAGAGTGTAGTTATAAAATATGTTTCATCACTTAATGTAAATATTTCTTCAAGCAAATCAGTTGGACACTTTATTGTTGTTTTGCTTAGGGTTTAAATTTCTGGAGTTTATAGCAAAATGCATCAGTGCTCCATGCAAAAAACACTTCCCTAATATTTGGACAAAGTATCTGAGTGGGTAATGCAGCACATATTCAATTTCACTTTAAATATGAATTTTACTTTTTTCCTGCACAATACATTGTCTCAGATTTCTGAAGAAATCAGGAAAAAAAGTTCTACAGTGAATCATTTTAAGTTTTAAGTCAGTGAACATTTGTATTTGAAAGGGAGTTAGTCACTTGTGTTGTGTTGTGGGAGAAAAGTGGGATGTACCATTTCAACCTGGTTCTGTTCAACATTGTCATTAATAGCTTGGATGTTGGGAATATACTTCCTAATCTTGGAGTAGCACGTACTTGAAGACATTCTTAAGGACAGGAATCTGAATCTGGAAATCTGAAGAAACAGGAATTCCCTTGCAATATTTCAGTAACCATCATCAAATTCTATTTTTCCTTATGATTTTCTGTTTCTTATTATTTTAAACAAAGCCTGCAAAAGTAGCCAAACAATATTTCATAATGTTTGTGTCAAACATACTTAAGTAGAATCTTACTGGTTAAAAGTGGGGAAATACTGTATGTTACACATTTTTATAATATTGGGTGCCTACCACAGCAGAACAGAATACAGGTTCATACCATATTTTGTACTTCAGCTAGCACAGGGCACTGCAAAATAAGCACATAAAAATAATTTATCTTAATGACACTAACATTTTTCATCAACAGAAGTAAGGATGCTTAAGATGGGCATATAGTATAGTAAATTTTTCTGATTATTTTTCTGATTATTTTATATTTTTACACACTGAGTGGTATTCTGTATCATGCTGCCAATGCTTATCCTTACAGTGTTATAAAGTGTTGCAAGCTAACACTCAGTTGTATGTGTTCCTGTGGCAAGAAGTAATTTAACTGTATGTTAAGGGAAAAGGTAGATTGGTTCCTGGTTGCAGGATGGGACAGCACTCTGTGCCTGTGTCTCCTTTGAGTACCTCCAGTTTGGATCTACCACTGTCTCACCTAAGCTCACACTGCACAGGAGTGTTTTAGGTGACAGTAGTTAGTAACTCATCTGTCAGAAGGGAATCAGTACTGCACTGCCTTCAGACATGTTCTCAGACCATGTTCTCAGATATTGCTGTGATAGATGAGCATTAGTAAAGCTTCCCAATACAGTAAATATCAAAATATTTTGCACACACACTATCTCCCTCAATGTCTAATTATCACAAAACTTAGCAGGCCCAACGGGAGAGAATTAGATTGAATCTATATTCTAAGAGCCAGTGAGCTCATTTGCAATATAGGGCCCCACATTAAATTCATTGCTTCAGTAGATATTTAACTATTCATAGAAAGTGGTGCACAGACCCCTTCCCATAGAATCCAGCACCATAGTGGTCAGAGGGATTCAAGCCTGGGTTTTTGATCAGGCAGGGAACAGACTGGCTCTTGCTGGACACCTCAACACTGAGCCTCAGACCACTCTGGTCTGTGGTAAGTAAATCCACATGTAACAAGGGAAATCTTTCCTGCCAAGGAAGAGCTGTATGGTCCCATGAAAACTGTATGTTTCTATGGATCAGGTTTGCAATGGAAAATACTTCAATGAGAAAATGTCCAAGTTTCACTACTACTAATTTAATAATGGTTACAATGAAAAAAATAGAAAAGAGAGACTGTTTCTATTCATGTGATACATTCCTTTGGTTTAAAAAATCTGGTACTGAATTCTGTAGACATATGTTAAAATGAACTGACTTTTCATCTTTGAGGCTTCACTTCTTGCTTTCAAGTCTTATTCTCACTGGAATTTACATCTAAGATTCCAGAGCTATGCCTAACTTCCACTTACATAAAATTCCTTTGAAAGCTTATTTCCTTCCTTCCCCTCAGTTTTTCTCTTCTATATAATTCCTAACATTTGAATACTGCTATATAAAACCTGGTGGGTTGTTGCTTGGGATTTTTTTTTTTTGCCTTTTTTTTTTTCTTCTTACATTTAAGATTTGCAATTGGCTTTACTCATTTCTGGACCCACTGACAAATGGAAGCCTGTCACACATTGGCAGCAGACCTCTGTGCTTTGATTTACTGATGAATTTCAACTGAAAATTTGCAGTGATGCATGAAGGGCTGATCCAGAGCCCTTTGAAGGGAAAGGGGACTCTGTACTCAATTCAATGCCTGGCCTGTACTGTAGTTCAGTAAAAAACTTTGAGTCTTGTTCTCAGAAAAAAAATATATTAAAGTTTTATTAAAAACCCTTTTTTTTTTCTTTTTTGTTTGTACATGTTGAGTGGATAGGTCTTCCCTAGCTGTGTGCTTGGACACTCCATCTTCAATGGAGGACTTACGGGCATCACAAACTTACTTGTACTCAAACACAACAGTGAACTTCAGTTCTTTGCTTATTCAGGACACAACGGATGGTTGGTCATTTCCTTCTGTTTGCCAGAAGTATTTTCTTCCTAATGTTCATCCCAATTAAAATACTAAACCATGAAGACATTGTTATGCAAAACTGATCATTTTTGGAGCTTCTTTTCAGACTTCGCTTTGAGCGTTTGAGGCTCTGTCCTCAGAAATGATAAATCCCTCTTGTCCCAATGGCCTTATTTTGCTGACTAAATCAAGACTTCTAATCAGTTCAGTTTAGCAGAGCATCATGCATTTTAAGGTTTGTCGTTCTTGATTATTTTCACAGCCCAGCGTTACATTCAAATGTTTGTGACTGAGAAATAAAATTTGCTTGAACTCATGTAGTATCTCATGATTTTGTTCAAGTGGTGTGCTCTTCACTGTGAAAGCCCGTTTTCCTTATCTTGATATTCTTTTCAAGTCCCTGTAAAGAGGACTAGATTTTGAATTACTTTTCCTAACCATAAAACTGTACACCATGAAGCTCTTTATTTGTAGTTTAGTTTAATTGAGCAATTTAGTATAATTTAATTTGATTTTAGTGGGTTTGTATTGTAATAAACATGTATGATTGCACAGAAGGGGCTTTATTTAACTTCTTTTTCATCCACCGCCTATGTTACTGTAATGAAAGCAAAAATTCTGTGCAGGATGGTGAACAAATGCTACCTCTCAGGTTTGAAAAAAATAGCCTTTTGGGGGGCCATAGGAATGACAATGTATGTCTAATATGGGCTTGAAATTTTTGGAGGCATGAAGAAGTTAATTTCTAAGCCTCTGTGATGTGTTTTTCTTTTAAAAGGTTTAAATTGAGAAACCATTAGAGCCCCATGGAGTAGAGCAGTAACAAATTTGGGCAAAGGAAATACTTTAAAACCTTCTCTTATTTTGTGTTTGGAAAATGGAAAGCATGTGGCTGAAGAGGATACATTCCCAGGAAAAGGGCTGCCTCCAGCGGGTACACGTGGAACTGGGCACAGTGCCATAGCTGGCATTCACATACCCAATGTCAGATACAGAGTGTGTCCATTTTTGGCCTTTTGTCATGTCCCATTTTAAGAATCTCCTTTTAAATGCTGATTTATTTTTTTTTTTAATTGGAAGGACCTTGACCTCATCTTTCTTTTCTTGCTTTTGTAGAATTAATTCATGGACATTATTAACAGTTATTGTTTTTCTGCCTTTCCCAGTGAAAAGAACATAGGACAGCATTCATCAACTGGTCTTAGACATTGATGTTCACAGAACACCTAACAAAAAGGACTGGGATTTGGTTTACAACAGCTACTTAGGTTGGTAACAGTAGGATGCAAGAGAAGATGTTCCAGATAACTAACAGGAACCGTAAAAGAGGAGGCTTTATTTCTTCCTGAGTTTATGTGTCTACCTGCAGTTTAAGAAACAGGCTTTACCCATTCTGACTGGCTTGAACATGAGGCAGTGTCCATGCTGCTTTTGAGGAACTAGAGAACTATACAGAGGAGCAAGTGAGCTTGGCTTGCCCTTCACATGGATACAGCCCAGCCAGTACTTTGGGCAGTGCCCAGCCAGTACTGTAGTATTTTGGAGCCCTTTCTCTCTCTTTTAGGGTATGTGTGGAGAAATAGGAGTATTCTTAATTCTTTCCCTCAAATGGTTGAGCCAACAACCTCTATCCAGATGGCTGTAATGGAAAATGCTGCTGTACTCATCCACTTCAATTTCTCCAGCCAAAGCTGGAAGGCTTTGGCTTGATGATATATTTTATATATTGTTTCCATAGTGGATCTGAAACCATTGTGGCTCTTTGCCCTCATTTCTTGAGGCTGAGAGGCAATTTGTGCAAGGAATATAGGGATAAATGATAGTGCTTTTTAATGCTTTCCATACAGTCATCTTAAACCTTATGGATGGAAAGCTCCAGGCAAAGAATGTGTCCAGTGCGGTGAATTATTTGTTCTACAGAATAGGGAATAAATGTGCTGAACAGCATAGCTCAATTCTTCTTTCTGTCAAGGGATTTCTTCTGAGATACGTTTTGGTAGAACAATGCTTTTTGTTTGTTTATTCGTTTTTATTGCCACTCATTACATTCCAAGAAATCACTTACTGCTTTCCTGAGAATCATATTTGAAGGAAACAGTCCTGACATAAATTTTTCTGATGCTCTCCTTAAAATGGTTTGTGTGTGACTGGTGAGGTCAGAGGCTTTTCCGACGCTAAGGATGAGATACATTTCATGTTGGATGTCTGTACTTTGGACAATCACATCTGTGGTAGTTTATCTATTTATTTTCATAGTTAATGTGGAGAAAGAGGTACTTCCAAGGAAGTATCCAGGCCATTTTACCTACCTACTTTCCATAAGTGCAAATGATTGTGCACTGGAAGGGGTTGCCCAGAGAGGTCGTGGGGTCTCCCGTGCTGGAGATGTTCAAGAACTGTCCAGACACGGTCCTGTGTAATGAGCTCTAGGGAGGTTGGACCAGATGACCCACCTGCAGTCCATTTCAACCTCACCCATACTGTGGTTTTGTAATAAGGTGGGAAGAGTAGTAGATGTTGGACTCCATTGGTTGAGAAGAAGGAGATATGCTTTGGTCAGGTGAGTCCCACCCTCAAAGAATTTAACTTAGGGCTTTCAATCTCTTGGGGACAATGATGACCAAGAACAAGGAATCTTTCAAGATGAAGTTTTTTTTGCAGGAAGAGGCTTTTTTTTTTTTTTCCTGACATTACAGAAAATGTGACTTCAATCATTAGAATTCCAAGTGGGTTAAAGAGCAGGTGTTATTTAGTAATTTTTTTAAAGAAGAGTAAAATCCACTGCTGAGACATGTTTTTTGACCTTCGGTAAAATTATTAAAAATACTAAAGGGCATGATATACAGATTAAACCAGTTAATGGCAGTCTGGCCTTTCCAGTGAAATAACTGATAAAGCTGTTCAATAATCATGTAAATGGCTGTTTGCACAGAGGATATCTCAAGAATTTGTGGTGGCTGAGGAGATGGTCCATACTCAAGATTAGTGCCATTTTAAAGTAAAATTGGGTTTAGTTGACAAAGATTTAGATCTGTTTCCTGGCTGCATACATAACACAGCAGATATTTTTTGTTGCAGATATTTTAGCAGTGGTTTTTACATGGTAATTCATGGGGAACAGCATGCATCTGTCTAGAACAGTAAATGCCAGTAGAGTAATAGCCATGATTAAAAAAGAAAAGCTTTAAAAAACTAACTTCTCTTTATTTTTTGATAAATGCTAGAATTTAGATTAAGATAAAATTTAAAATGAAAAATATCCAGATGAATTAAAACATTTTATTCTTATCTCTGACATTACTGTCTTTTTTTTTTTTAATGTTAGGGGACAGTGATGTTTTTTGGTTTTAATGGCAATCCTTTCTAGAACTTCACGTTATTCAAGTTTACACTCTTTTGAATTTGGTGGAATATTACAAAATTTTCATTTCTTTCTAGGTAGGCTAGTTTGTGTAAAACTGAGAGGAAATCAAAAAACATCAATATTGTAATCAATATTGTAAAAATAATTAAAAATAGCAAAAGAAAACAAACCTAAAAAAAGGCAAAGAAATTAATGTCTGGGCATTGAGACAAAATGCAGAATTTTTGCTTAGCTGCATCCATAGTGCTATAGAAAATATGATCTTTAGTGTTTCACAGAGTCTTATGGAACACCAAAGATGAGCCTTTTTGAGAGAATCATACCAAATTGCAAATATAGCACAGACCATATTGTAGTAGCATCTTCACTCACCAGAGTTTGCATTAACTCACCTTTCTGTTGAGTTTCACTACTTTAGCTGCAGAAGAGTTTGCTAATTCCAAGAGGCAAAAGAGTTTGTGGGTAAAACCGTTGAAGGAAAGGAATGACCCTGCAAGGAGATTATTCTTCTAGAAATGACATGTTCCAGTGTCACAGCTTTGATTTGGTGCTGTGTTTTTTTCTGGTAGCTTTACCAGCTCTCCTGTCTATGGGGAGGACAGTGATTTGCCTTTGCATGGGTCACTGAGCTAGAACTTGTTCTGCTCCTGCTGGCTCTCATCTATCACCATGGATGCCTCTAACTGTGCTTCCTGTAGTGAGGAAATTCTCATCAAATAATTTTAGATCCAATCTCTTCATGCCTCAAAACATTTCAGGGCTGCCCTTTATGACCCCTGCATCGCTTTCAGCCAGCCAGCACTTTTTGTTAGTGCTGGGGAGAGATGCTGCACTCGTAACCTTGGTTAGAAACCAAGGACTTCTGGAGCTGCCTTGGGCTTCTGTGTTTACAGGGGAACATGTAAATGTAAAGCTTTCACTTTCTACCTGATCTATACCTGTGATGCTAGGATATGTTTGGGTATTCATGCCACATTACCTAAATAAATGCAGTATCCATATAGTGTCACAGACTCCCTCTGTAATCAGCATAGAAAAAGTGTGTCTTTTATGGAAGAGCAGAAATCGAAACTGCGTGCCCAAAGTTGGCCAATATAAATGGTCTTTCAATTCCTGGATGTCCCTGTCTTGTTCCTTGGCCTCTTGTTCAGCTTGAAGTAAATGATCCAGGTGGCAGCTGCTCCTGGGCAGTGTCTCAGCTGGCAAAATGTGCTTGTGTTGGGTACACTAAGGAGACCAATGACCACAATTTACCAGCATTTGTTCCCTCCTCTCATTGTGGGAAGCCAAGAACAGGAGGTGAAATGGGATCAAAGGCAGTGTTAGTGTTCATTGCTTGTGTTTACCACTCACATTTTCTTATGTGGTGTATCCTGGGGACACTCCACAGTGATCATCCCTGAAAGACAGTGAGACTTCTTCTCTGGACAGTGGCAACAACTTACACACTGTGCATTCTTCTTCATGTCATAACAGAACTATATTTAGATGCAGGAGCTTGTCAATAAATGCTCATCTCTTTGAGGGGTCATTTAAGAGCAATCTTACACCTCTATGGCATTTCAGAGTTCCTTGATTTATGTTTTTTTAATGGACACAGTGATGCAGCTATAGCTCATTAAAGAGCTATAGCTCATGCTATATGAGTTTTGCTCATGCACAGAGCAAAACTAATATTATTTTAAGTAAAATGTATTTTATAATAAGTAACTCTTCCTGACCTACAATATTTATGGTATTTGCATTCCTGGAACTTTTTCAAGAGGCAATGAGGTAATAATGCATGATCAGGTATACTAATTTTAGAAATAAATAAATAAGTCTTCAAAAACCCAAAGGTTGAACCTGTTGTTAACAATCTGAAATTTGTTTTTACGTGTAATTGCAAGGAAAAAAAATGTAACTATGATCCTGTAGCTATCATAAATTTGTATTTGGATGATAAAATACTACTGTCCTGTGGTAGTCATTTCTATTCAGGGAGATTTTCTATTCCTGCTTGCAGCTGTTATGAAAAGGTGCATAATTAAACTGCCATTTCTCTCTAAATTTGACTTCAGATCAGTGAAGATATTTGAAAAGGATAGTTTGTTGTGGTGTTAAAATTGATGTGGAGGGGAAATAAGATCAAGTACATTAATACTATGTTTATGCAGACTAGGAGGGTCTGCATAAGAGTTCATGCAGTTGAACTAACACACTTTTGAAGTCCATTCAGGTTAACTTCGGCGTTCATACATAGACAAACCTGAATTACTTGTGTAGTGTGGACTGAGAGAATACGTATGTAAAAGAATCACGTTAGAAATTTTGAGATTCTTCAAGAGGAGACCTAACATGAGACAATTTTTAAAATTAGTAATTTTTGTCTAATTTTATCTAGGGTTGTTTTTTTTTAATATCCCAAGGCGAATTTTTGGCTGCAGTTAAAACTTCAAGATGTTTTTGTTTGTTTTGTTTGTTTTGAGAATGAGTGGACAAATGCAGGATTCTTTTTTAAACAATGCAGAAATGCTTCACATTTAAACTAATTGGTATATTATCTTTTTTTCTTATTTTGCTAAATGTAGTTTATTTACAGCTAATTTCTGTGAATATTTCTTTTAATTAATTCATCCAAATGGCTTGCACTAAATCCAAGGTAAACAGCATCATAAAACTTCATCTAGCTTGAATTTCTTAAAATTGTAGTTTCTCTTGCAGATACTGCCTTCTTCCACAGACATTTCACAGGCTAATGGACAGCCAGAGGATCACGAGACAGCTGCCAGAGTGAATGGGATGACTGGGTCAATACCTGCAAACTCTCAGCAAGAGGCAGACAGCACCCACAGTTCTCACATCACTTCAAACGTGTATGCTGGTTCTCCTATCAAATTAACAAGCCCGGAGAGGATCATAGCCCTGCATCGAGAACTGAGACAAAATCATTGCAAAACTTACCGGGTCAGTAAAAATTTTCTCACTGTTTTTAGTTTACTGAAATCTGTTATTCTTGGCAGAAGATACAGATATGTGAATGATCCCTTTGATTGATGCACATTTGATTGTTAGTCTAAACAATCTGACAATAATAAATGTTTAAAGTTTTTTGTTATGTATTTTCTTCCCCATTGTTTATATGTGGCTTGGGGCTTGTAAAAATAATTAAAAGGTTTGCTTTTATCATGGTATACTCTCTGGTAAAATGATCTTCAAAAATTGTTGGATGTTTTAAAAAAAAAAAAGTTGTTATGTTGATCTTGTCCTACCTTTTTTCCCTGCAAAGTTTTTCTTTTTTTTTTTTTTTTTTAGTGATCCAATTATTCCTCTGCCCTGAAGCTCTTTATAGTAATTTCCATTAACCGCAGGAATCCTGTTAAGAACAGAGCTGATCAATTGCAATTGCATTTGTGACAGTCTGCTGCTAAACTAAACACGCAAGAGATTTCACCCTCTTTGAGACAACATAACCTCTCCATATTTGTATGGAAAAAAACCCCAAATATGCAATTACTGGAGCCAGTTAGGTAGAGTAATTACAAATATTACTCTACTGAATTTTATTTATAATCTTGGATTAAAATAAGTGTGATAAAACAAACTCATTGTTTCTGCTTTTGGCATTAATGAAAAAAACATAGAAGATACTGAAATTTCCTTTTAGTTAAGAAATTAATTATACAATGAGGTGGTGACTCAGAATTCTGATAATATGTTACTTAGTCCAGTAACAACTCAAATGGAGTTTCCTGCTCCTCTTCTCTCTCACAGTCACACATAAAAAGGACCAATTAAAATATTGCCGTAAAAGAAAACCATTATGGAGGGGAGAATGCAAGTAGCTCTTTGATTGACCTGACCTTTGTGAGCTCAAAGATTACTTTTTTATGTAAATCACATGAGCTGTAATTAAATCCCAATGAAAGCAGGACATGGGCCTTATGCAGAATCACATGGGAAGCTATGGCTGAAATCAGCCGCAGTGCACAGAGTGGCCTGTTTCCCCATGACATACAGAAACACACTGTGACATCCAAGGTTATGGTTTCTCTTCTTCTTTCCTCCTCAGATACCTTCAGTTGTCTCCTCCAACTCAAATCCACAGGCTGATCGCAACTTGCCCACGATCCATAAGGAAGCCCCTTGGCCTCTGCTGTCAAGGATGAAGGATGCACTGGTGCCTCTGGAGCGTAGTGTCTTCTGGGCCACGAAGGGGAGGGATCAGTTGTAGAAACGTGATGATGTGTTTTGGGGTCAAATAGGAAATCAGCATGCAGGTGCTACTCCCCAGAGAACAAAACAGAAAAATGCCATTATGAATAAGGCATGGCTCTCTAGAGAAAAAACAGATGGCTCAACCTCAGCTACCACAGCAAAAAGCTATTTGTCAGACGTGTTGTCAGCAAGTAATAAAGGTCGAAATCCTGTGGGTAGGAATCAGCTGCACGGGAAAGAATAAAACCTGCAGAAATAAAACAAGGTAAACCATCTAAGCAATGTGATTTTTCCCATTGCTACAAAAGTACTAATAATTTTTTAAAACAAAGATACTTTACTACTTAGCATGGCCTAGCAACTAGTTAGAGATGACTGAAAAATTTACATGAAAAAGAGCTGTAATACTTTTTATGATCAAAATGTTTTTAGAACATTTGAGATCATTGAAACCTATGGATTTTTTAATTAGCTGGGCTGCCTCCCCATTTTCTTTTGCTTTTCTTTTAACTGAGGCTGTGAAGCAACCTGTTAAATCACTTTCACTTATATGTATGACCCATTTCTTCAGTGTGCTGTGGCAGGTTCTGAGAGAACATCTGCCTTGTGTGACTGTTTCCTCTGGAACTTCAGGGAATGTAGCATCATGGACTTCCTAGAAACTAATTTTACAGAAATTGAAGGGTCATTTTGCTGTGTTTCTTTAATCTTGGTTTACTTCTTAAAATTGAATCTTTTTTTTTTTTTAATCGACTGAACTACAGCAGGACACCCAATGTATTACTCTAGGTGGTAGTATCTGTGAAATAGTATCCTTCAGCTGTTACTTTTAAGTAACAAATTGAAGCTTAACTTACTGGACAAGTGTGCAACCACTTTCTTTATGGGACTGAGTGGGCATCATGGGTACAGTAACATCTGAGTTCAAGGGCTGGATGATTCAGACTGCACCCTGTGCTGCCAGACCCCTACACCCATCACAGGGAGAAGTGGATGGGGTGCCAGGCCACCTGCACTGGCACAGTCAGGACAGCACTTCCTCGTAGCCTGGCTCAGAAACACTTGTGGGATGGGATGCGTGAACCTTTGATGGATCCTGGCTAGGGAAAGAAGGAGGGAACAGTGTGTCTGTGCAGGTGGATGTGTGCACTAATGCTGGTTGACTCCAGGAAGTTTAACTCAGCATGGTTGTAAATTCCTCAAAATACTTATTTATATTGTGATCCCACCAGATTTAATTCTTTTGGAAAACCTCCATTATTCATATCTCCCAGTTTTCTTTGTTTTTCATCACTTATATTAGAAAAGGGCATTAACGCACAGTAATACATGGCACAGTTCCTGTGCTTTTCCTCTGCATCCATTGATTACCCCAGTTGGTTCACATTATGTTACTACATTTGTTTGATGCTGCTTTTCGGAAGCCAGAAATAAAATGACTGGTTTTGATGAAATATTAATGTACACACTCACACTTTATTGTGGAAACCCGCCTTCAATTGCTCAGTTAGGTAGTGGTGCAGTTGCTTACAGCACTAACTGAATTGCTCTTCATCCAACATATCTTTAGAAAACATACACCAGATGCCAAGGGAAATAGTCTCTGGAAGCAATGTTTCTGAGTGCTATCTAAGTGGAGGAGACACCAGTGAGATTCCAAAATATGGGCTTTTGCTTTCATGTACCTTTCTTTTCTTCCTAATGCCAGGCCAGAACTTCTAAAGACAGATATAGCTGCTATCCAGCCATCAGCTGCTTGGTCAAATGTAAAGATATTCTGATGTGCAAAAGCACCTGTAAACACTGAATGTGTGACTTTTATGTTGATAAAATGGTGCTTTAAGAATTAGCCCCTGTGAGAGCTTTTTGGAGCTTTATCTTGCTGTCAGTAAATACAGAACCTGGTAGTTCAGTCTGAGGTCATAATGCATGAAGTGTGCTAATAATAAGGACATTAATAATAATATCCTATGATAATATGATAATAAGCCTTTGTTATCCTAGTGTAGCTATCTACTTTGTGTTTGTGACTATAGTAACTATCCATGAAATTAAGCCTTTTTCAATCTAGTCCCTTTCTATCAAAGATAAGTGTGATTTATTTTAAATTGTAAGGCTTCATTTTAAGCTAATTAGGTTATTTGGCCCCATTCTTCCTCCTGCTGGAATTAATAATTTCCTGAACAAGGGCCACAGACACACAGAGGCGTAGATGGAGGAACAGACATTTGCAAGGATATTACCTGCACTGAAGCACTATAATGCAAAACAGACTCAGGCAATTCATCCAGCAAATGGATTCTGTGCTGGCACTTCATAGCTTTGCTTCACAAGTCACAGATTTCCTGTAGCCCCTTGTGTTTTTAATTTTTTAAGACATCCTACTTCATTTCTTCCTAGTACAAAGCATTGTTTAAAGATGTGCAGATACCATGATTATCATTTGGCCAGCTGTTTCAGCTGCTCTTCATTTCTTCTAAGTAAAAATGCGATAGTTTAGACACTACAGTGGAGGAATGCTAATAAATTAGCAGCAATCAGCTTGGAGCTCTGCATGCAACACCATTGGAAAAGGTGGGTCAGCTAAAGGTTTTCTCTTCTGAACTTCTGTCCTACTCCATTTTTCCCGCTACTGAATGGGCAAATGAGAAGTGATAGTCAGATTATGCCAAATAATTATGCACTAATTGATCTACAAGAAGATTAGATGATGCATTGCACCATCAAACAAGGCACTTCAAATTCTTTAAACATGGTCATTTATAGAAATCTGACCCAAAATGTACAGTGGTGGACCAGATGGTTCCTATATTGGTGTCCTGCCAGGCTGAGGTCCTTTGGGAGTCTGAGTTTGCTGAGTGACTCATTAGAATAATTAATTTTACCCCTTATTCTGTAAATTATTTGGTTTGGGGTTTTTTTGAAATGAAGGGTTATCAGTAGCAATGTGCTTACAGAGCACATCTGAACAGTTGACTTGTCTTGAATCACCTGTGATCTGCTGTTTGTCATCCACGGACCTGCATGAGTCAAATGGCATTATCTGTACTTGACTGGATGATGAGGATATTTGGAAGGAAGCTGGATGACAGCATGTTTCCTACTGACAGATGCTCACTGAGCCTGCTTCTCATTCAGACAAACTCTTCCACTTCCAAAGAAATTGTTTGAAACAGCACAGAAAAGTATTTTCTAGGATCAATAGTTAGCAGCAAATGAGTGTTAACATATTCAGACAATATTTGCCCAACTCTTTTTTTCCAGACTTGAACTCCCTAATACTGAAGTCAAAATGTCTCTTTTTAGCAGGGAGATTATCTCTTTTCTCTCTAGTTTTAACAGAAGTATTACTTAAAAAATAGAATTACATGGAGGCATTAACCTGAAATGGTGCCTAGCGCTTTCTAAAGGCTGTGTGAAAGATAAAAAGGGAACTCGTGGTGTTCCTATGACTACAAATGCACTGTAGAATTGTGTACCAGCTATGAGGGAGAAAAGCCACTGGACAGAATAGCGATTCTTTTATGACAGGTGAAAAAAAATACATCACTTTCTTCCAATGCTGAATAAGCAGATTTCTGTAATCAAAGAAAACTAATAATTCTCCTGCAGTTGTGCCTTATCTGTTTTGCTCTTTATTGGTAGGAGAGGTCATAAACAGGGAATGTAATACAGTTTTTAAGTTCATATGCAAAGAAACAGAACACCTACAATGACAGATCATGCATATTTTAAAAGAGTTCTCTTTAGTCAATGCAATTCTTGTATTAGACTACTCCTTCTACTCCTCTTATTTTTCAGGAAAATAGCATTCATAATATTTGAAAAAAATAATAAGTTGCCCTGTTTTTGTCTACACTCACCTGTGCATGCAGTCTCACTAAACTAGAAAGAATTCACTATGCAAGGCAAAAAGGTGAAGTCAGTTGCCAGTTACATTTTAGGAATGTCTAGAACAGACATGCTTTGATCAGAATCAGTGGAAAGAACAAGGTCAGCATCCCCCTTAAGAACTGATATTCTGGAGAAGGCCTGGAAGGCACTGGAAAGATGACAAAACTCATTCTCTTTTCAAATAAATGATGCCAGTGTCAACTCTAGGTTCTACTAGATATTAAACATNAGAAGGGTTGCTCCTGAAGCCTTCCACTCTCTATCTGTTGCTTGTCTTGTGGTATGAAAAGCTTTTATGCACGTAGGAAATTTGGGGATTATGCTCAGTCTGTGGTCATTCAGCTCAGGGCTGGTATTGATGTGAGTCAGAACAAAACCAAGTTGCCCATGATTAAATTTTCTCTACTCCCTAATAATCCCTGTTTATATTTTTTTGAGTAGTAATTCTGATTTGTAAAAGTATTATCTAATGCCTTCTTAGTAACAGCCTTTTCATTGAGCCTTTAAGCTGATGGATATTAAAGACCCTAATTAAAACCAGATAATGTATGAAAGATTCCTGTAGTGCAGGCCTTTCTCTTAGAGCCTGATTAAACCAAAAAACTCATACATCTGTTTGCACAACTGTATTCTCATCAGGGCAGGCACCTTGCAGCATTGACTTAGGTCCATCCTTCTCACAGTAGCTTTTTCTTGGAAATAAAGAGAACAAGAAAGGCTAGGAGAGAAAATGGAGTATTTCAGAAACATTGGCTTATTACATTTAGCTAGGAATGCAATCTTTCCCTATTCTATGGCTCTGATGCTATCAGTCAGGATAATGGTGAACCACAGAATAATATGTTCATTTACATATAAATCTGTATAAAATACTTCTGTGCATATATAATCTCTATATGTTTAGTTGCATGCAGTTTTGCATGAATAAATACAGTATAAAATAACAGGGATAAGTGATTTTCTGCAGATCTTTATTTTTTTTCCTTTCTTTTTTCCTGTCTCTCGGAATTTGCAAATAGAAGTAGGAATATGAGAAGACACTGATTTTTTTTAAATTTAAACCTTAAATTAAGAGGAAACAGACTATATAGTGAAAACTGTGGTTTTACCTTGACTCCACTGCAGGTTAAAATCCGGATTTGTATGAATCTGTCTTCCCTTTCCCAAATACCCTGGATTCCGCTGGTGTATTTGCATGCCCCACTTGTCAGTCCAAGTGTAAATGGCAGTGAGACCAGGCCACTGGGAGATCCTTGCTCTGTAGCAGTGTAGCTCCCTGTTGTTTCTTGCTGCTGAAAGATGGGAAGAAAAATGATCAGTGATTGTATAAAATATTGTTAGTACAACTTTGTCTTGCTTTTATATGCATTA